TACACAACCGGAGCATGATGAATATGTAAATTTGACTGCAGTAATCCTTTCAATGTGTATATCAAAAACATTGTACAATTCAAATATATACACTAAAAAATAAACTAAAAGTTATAAATGATATTAATACTGATACCAAAGGAATACAAAGGACAATAAAATACTGCTTTGAACAATTATATACCAACAAATTGGATAACCTAGAAGAATTGGATTAAGTTCTCTGAAACATACTATCCACCAAGACTAATCAAGAAGAAATAGAAAATCTGAACTGACCAATAAAGATAAGGAGATTAAATCAGTAATACAAACTCAGGACCTGATGGATTTACTATTGAATTTTACCTGACACTTAAACAATATTAATACCAATCCTTCTGAAATTCTTCCAAAAAAATTAAGAGGAGGAAACACTTCCAAACTTGTTTTATGAGATTAGCATTACCCTGATACCAAAGCAAGATAAGATTACCACAAGAAAAGAAAACTGGGGCCAGGATATAACTCAGTGGTAGAACACTTGCTTCATATGTATGAAACCCTTGATTCAATCCCCAACACTACACACAGAAAGAGAAACAAAAAATTAAAGGACAATATCACTCATGAACATAGATGCAAAAATCCTCGAAATATACTAGCATACTGAATTCAACAGCATATTAAATGGGTCATACCCCATGATTGAATGAGATTGATCCCTGAGAAGCAAGGATCATTTAACACATGCAAAGTCCATAAATGTGATATACCACATTAACAGTGAAAGATAAAAATCATAAGATCATCTCAATAGATGTGGGAAAAGCATTTGATAGAATTCAATATCTCATGATAAAAATACTCAAACTATAGAAGGAATGGAACTAAACTTAATAGAATCCACATGTGAGAAGCCCATAGACTGCTGAATGGTGAATATCTGAAAACTTTTCCTCTGAGATTGGGAACAAGATAGAAATGCCTACCACTCTTACCACTTCAATCCATATAGTGTTTAAGTCTGATCCAGAGCAGTTAGGTAAGTAAAAGATGTGAAAGGCATCCAAGTGGGAAACAAAGAAGTAAAACTGTCTTTTTGGCAAGTGACAAGATCTTATATGGAGAGAACCCTGAAGACTCCACCAAAATTTTCTTTAGAATAAACAAATTCAGTTTCAGGATACAAAATTAGCAGTGTTTCTATATATTTACAATGAGCTATCCCAAAAGAAATCATTAAAATCAATAAATTCTATTCACAATATCTAACAAAAACAAAAAACCTTAGGAGCAGTTTAACCAAGGACATAGAAGGTGTGCACACGGAAAACTGTGAAATGCTGGTGAAAGAAATTGATGATACCAATAAATGAAAACCTGGATGAGTGGATGTTCATGGTTTAAGACAATTATTATTAAAATGTCCATATTTCCCAAAGAAATACACAGATCTAATGTTATCCCTATCAAAATTTCAATGGCATTTTTCACAGAAGTAAAAAAAAATCTAAAATTCATACAGAACCACCAAAGCTATCTTGAGCAAAAAGAACAGAATATGATACATCATACCACTTGATTTAAAAATCAACTATAAAGCTTGAGTAATCAAAACAGCATGTTACTGGCATGAAAAAAGGCTCAGAGAAATGGATCAGAACCAGGGACCCAGAAGTAAGTCCACTTATTTATGATCAATTGTTTTTTGATCAAGTTGCCAACACTCAATAAAGGACAGTATATTTAATAAATGATGTTGAAAAACTGATACCCACCTGCAGAAAAATGAGATTAGGCTCTTGTCTCACACCAAATCAAATCAAAATAGATTAAAACACATGAAACTATAAAACTACTAAGAGTAAACAGAAGAGAGGCTCCATGACATTGGTCTGGACAGTGGTTTTTGAATAGGATCCCCAAAGCACAAGCAACCAAAAGCAAAAATAGACAAATAGGATTTTATCAAACTGAAAACTTCTGTGAGAAAGGAAACCACAGGGTAAGGAATGGGAGAAAATATTTACAAATCCAAGATCTGACAATATATTGAAGTAATATTAAAACGGACAAGGA